AAATTTCATCACAATATATTATTCTCGTGACTTTGTGGTCATTCTATTTGAGCCGATTGGAGCCGTGATGCTGAAAGAGAAGAAAAAACCTGGGTTTGTGCAAGAACGCATCTCGTTCAGCGGAGACTGCCTGTGATGCAGACAATTGTGGAACGGAAAGCCGCTGCCGACACACTCTTGAAAAGCTTGGACACACTGATGGCTGGATGTAGTTATTCCGGCGATGCTGGTTTGCTTGTTTCAATGCCTGTCTGCATGTACGTGCAAACGGCTCAGATTGCAGCGACCGATTTATGTCAAATGTTGCGACACCGCATCAAACAAATGTCTTGATGGTCTGCAAGCGCCAAGTGTCACTTTGCACGTGCGACCTATCAACGGCTTTGGATGTGCTGCACGCAATGCAGCCTCGGCTTGATATCCAAGGGTCACCTCACCTCGTACCCTGTTTATCCGCAACAGCGACTGTGCTCCATGTACAGCATGGAAAGTACAAAGATGTCACAAACGTCACTGGCAGGTACACACATTGGCGTCCCAATCTGCTTCACGGAGTATCCACAGCTGTCTTCGTTAGTCTCCCTGCTGCCCCCTGCTCTAAGAAATCGGGAAAAACTGACGTGACAGACTCACGCGATTCAGCTGCAACTGAATGGCGCGTGACCTTCTCAAGTTCATGAGCGAGAAGCATTCACCCAAACACACACACACACACACCATGCGCGCACCATCACACAGTGGACAGTATGCACCTGAAATGCTGATTATGATCAAGCCCCCAAGCCAGGGCCCGAAGCGAGCATGGCGCTGGCCGCATATGGTGTACCAAGAGGCAACATTGCCTGACGAGACGAGCAAGGACCAGAGCCTGCAACCACCAAAGCTTCTAGCTATACAGCGCCTGTCATAGATTGCTCGGGCGATACACGTGCCCATCTTGCATCGACCTCCCCAGATCTTCATACACTGCACCGTGCTGAAGCAGCTGCTAATCTCTGCGAGCTCTTGGTCCTTCGTGGGTCCGTGGCAATCCAAGTTAAAATAGTCTTGTGGAAACCTCTCGCGGCAGATGTATCGCCTGGAGGCGAAGGGCTCCATGATTTGTCGATGTCAGGTGCATTTAACATCCCAAGCCCGACTCAACTGTGGACTTGCTGTGCCGTGGCATGTCTGCTTACAGACTCGGGTTAGCTTTGTATTTGTATTTGTCGCTGGTGGTGTCGATGACGGTGTCGAACACAATGGCTGTTGGTATTGTTGCAGCTGTTGCTGTTGCGGCCTGCAGATGCTGCCAAAAATCGCAAATACAGTACCACTCGAGAATGATTTACCATACAGTGAGGCGTGGAGTGGTACAGAAACAAAGCGTTACCCAGAACTCTGCACGCTGGATGAGTTGCAGGACTACGAACGCTCTTGGCCAGGCTAGAGCTGGCCCACGTCCGTGAGCTTCTGAGCTGCCGGCTTCCGCTCGAGACCCAGCAAATCGATGTCAGTGGCATCACAGGGTCCAAATTCCTGATGCACTCCCGTAGAAACCTGACATGATCACGCCAGCTGTGACGTGTTTTGATGCCCGAGCCATCTGGGACTGCTGGCCTGGTTTTCCGGCGAAAAAGCCGAACCAATCAAGATCAGAGCGAAAAAGTATCCAACCATGGCAAAGCGGACGGACCAGTGCCTTGAAGTCAATACACAAACATGAAACTCATCACAAAACAGGCAGACGCAGTACATACTTCGTCAGGCACAGACTGATTCTTGTACAGACCCACTAGAAATGTCATGAGCACAAAGAGAAAAACGATGTTGCCTTTGAAATGTAAGCATGGCCACTCTGGCTCGAACAGATGCATCGTCGCCGATCTCTGTGGCCAAACCTCTCCGTGTGGAGCCACGAGTCACAGACGCGCGATCACAAGTAGTTCTTCTGTATTGTCTTAGCCTTCAGCCCCGGCTTCCAAACGCAGATGGCCGAAAATAACAGGGCAGTGGCAAGGACGGTCCGCGGGCCAGGCATGCCGATCCTTCCATCTTAAGTGGTAACATCTTCGCAGCTTCCCGGTAGTTTTCCCCACTCACTCCTGTCCCATCCCAGAACGGTACAGACGTTGAGCACGACCAGCATAAGCGGTGTGGACCTTGAGTATCTTCAACTATACGGAACCGCAGAGTCAGCTCTGAGACTGAGCCGCCAAGAGTCCAACACGCCAGAGCCAAGCTCCGTAGCATGCCCCAGCCGGCATCGGACCCCCAGCGTCTGGCAAGAGCAGCAAAGAACAGCCTGCAATCCGCTTGCCTGCGCATACTGCGCCAGGTGGCAGGAGCAGGGAGAAGCAGAACGTGAAGGTGAGGGTCCATGCCTGGGAACTGTCCGACAGCAGTCTTCCAGCATTCTTCCAGTGCCCTGGGAAGGAGACTGGGCTCCTCGCCGTGCTGCCACCTGGAACACCCAACCATCGCAGTGCAACTCCAGGATCTGTATCATGCCATGTCCACCTTGTCGTCCAGATGCTTCAGCAACTACTTAGCTGCAAGCCAGCAGTCATCAATCAAGCGAGAAACTGTGAATCAACATCACACGCACTGAAGAATCATGGTCGAGGGACCACAGAAACTTCGCACCACACATGTCGTATGGCGCATAGAAAAGGCCTGCCAGAAGGCCTTCAACGAGGACAAACTCTTGCAGTCGGCGGTGACAGAGCCTCCAGAATCTCCAGACTTCTACTTAGCGAAGATGACCTGCAAGGCTCGCTTCTGCGATCGGACACTGCCGTCTGTGACAGAAGACGCGAGCCGCCGCCACCTCGACACACACAAAATCGCGCTCAGCTGTGTTGGCGTCTGAGTGCGAGGTGGAACATGGTGGGCCGATGGACAATTCGAGACAGCTCGTACAAAAGGTGTGCAAGCTTCTCAATCCAAGGCGCAGTAGGCCAGTACATGAACGCATTGTATACGCAAGGAATATAAAGTGGCATTCTTGGAGTTAGCATCAGAACGGCTTGTGCCTGAGTAACCCGGGCACTTCCAAATTCATGGAGCTTGATTCTGGGCAGCACCAGAACAGTCCTCTAACTTCTTTCTAACCGGTTTCATGGGTCAACACCCTCAAGATATCCAGGCAAGCTTCTTGCCAGAAATTGTCCACCACCGGCAACAGCATAAAAATGTAATCGTTGACCGTACCCACAATGAATGTCGCCACCCAAATCCTGAAGAACCCGGTACAACAAACAAGACTCTGGAGCATACAGAAAGACGTGAGGGCGTGCAGTCACGCTGCAACTTCAGACGACGAAACTCTCCGTCACGGGATTCACAAATAGCGTGCAGGAACGAAAAAGCCGCCAGAATCAAGAACAGCGCCTTAGCAAAATTGCACAGTAAATGGTAAACGTCGCAGGAAATGTCAATACTGTCAATACTTGGAGAGAAAGCTTTGTTGAAGACCTCGCCCACGACAAACGACGGATGATCCTGAAGCTGCTTCTCCAGCGAGCTGATTCGAAGCCACGGCCACCTGAAAGGACTTCTGCCAAGCACAAACCGCACATGATGCAGCGTTTAAAACTGTTAAGCGGCTTGTCGTATTCGCGGAAATGGTCGGAAACGATTGACCTCGATTTGTTAAGATGTCTGCAGACACATGCACATGCACATCCGATGCAGAGGCTGCCACACCAGTTGGGACATTGTTCGGAATTGGGCGGAATCAGAACGAATGCATGTACGCCGTCATGCGGTACTGTCTTGATGTGGGTACATGTTCTGTTGATGTACATTCTCCAAACTGAGCGGTCATCAACACGCCAGAGAATTACAAGGCCTAGAAGTGGGCCTGACCGTTTGACTGCAAACAGCTGCAACAATGTTTCGAGCCTCAGCCATCGAATGAATACGTGTGCAAACAAAACTTTGATACGCCTGCCTCCGGTGGCAAATCATACACAGACGGCTTGGCCTGAAGCGAGGTCGGTGACTAGCACATGGGCAAAAGCCAAAACTTGGAACTGCATTCGAGGCCTTGCCAATATCGTCCTCGCAAACAACTGCAATTGCTGTATGTTTGCATGCCAGTCTCAAGCATGCTCCACTTCAGGCTGCACGGACAAGTGTAAATCCTTCACCAAGACTGCATTGCGCGACCTGTTGCAATAGGCCTGCACATGAAACCGAAGCATGTGCGCACATCTCGAAATTTGCCGAAGCTGCCTCCGACATGTCCAACCGACGTTGTCCGACGAGGGCCAACGACCGTCACGCCAGACCTAAACGTTCCTTTGAACCAGGAAACGCACAACATGCACAGCATTTCCCACAAGTTGGACCGGGACCAAACACCCATACTGAGTAGTTTAAACCGTGACAACACCGCTGACATGCGATTGTAGCCCGGCATCTTGCTGCATTGCGCGCTCAGTGTTCTGACTACGTTGTCCAAGCGGCGAAGCTCAAAGCCTTAACGTTTGAACATGTAGTTTGATCTGCGACTTGTACGACAGTGTCGCTGGTCTTACCTCGCTACATTGCCACGACTTGCGTGCCCTTATGCCGGAGCTCGTTACTGAATGGGAGGTCATCGCTAAATTGGAGTCTGTGCCGTGGCCCTGGGTGGCGCTTCTGGAGATGACTTTCGCTGGCTTCCTGGCCCCAACGGCTTGCCTCTACCCAGTGAACACCATCGTAATGCGAGGGCGTTGAGAACATCATACCTGCTTGACGCAACGAAGCAAGAGTGTTGGAGAAAGCCGGAGTGGCCACTCCGGTGTACGTGATTATGGACATCTGTTCCCGTTTGTGCAGCAAGCCCATATAGTTTGAGGCTCCAACCCAGCGATCGTTTTCAAAAAAGTGTTAAATGCTTATTTGGGCCATTGCTGGAATATTTACCTCAATGCGACATAAGCATTCTCACTTCGGAGGTTTCCGCTATCCCATTTTCACCTTGTGTGGCGAACATCCACTACTCCAAAACTATGTCCGGGTGAACTCACAAATTGCTCTGCCTGCAAACCCGACCGAACAAATTCCAAAAAACATTTTGAAACCATTTCTCACACCGAACAACCATGCATCAAACCAGCTGCAACGTCGGAAACGAAAAGACACAGTCAAGCAATGATCGCCTTTCACACCTTCAGACAAATCGTTTCCCATTTCACTTTCAGCCTGAACCCAAAACCAGTGTTTGGGAATCTCCAGCAGAACCACGGCTCTGCAAAATAAGTGGTCCTAACCTTTTGACAGACGCAGCCGTTCGCCAGCTGAACGAGATTTTGTGTGCTTGCGTTGGCTGCTGGGCAAACGAACTGACAAGACAACGCACTGTCCGAGAAGCTTGGTGGCTAGTTATTCTCAGGTCAAGGTCAAGTTTTCAATTTTCGGCAAGGTTTCCAGCTGCCACTCGAGCTGGAGAGTTCAAATCTCAGTTTGGTTATGTACAGCTCAACTCAACAAGCTCGCGCCGCGGATTCGGTTCACTTAGACACTTCGCCTCGAACGGCAAAGCTACGATCCAATGGTCTAGATTTTCCAATACACTTTCCCTTGTCTTCGCACACAACAAAAGTCAAACAATCAGTTTCTTCGTATACAGAAGAGCATGATAGAGAAAGCAGGCCCGTGAGGAAGAACTCAACTTCGCTCAAGAACAGCCTCTTCGAGCACAACTCCAAAGGTAGAATTTCGGAAGGCAAATAACTACTTCGCTCCAAAACGACCTCTTTGGAAAACGAGGCAAAAAGTCGGTTTTCTGGAAGGAAAACAACTCAACTTCGCTCCAAAACGTCGCGTTTGTTGTTCAAATTTGATTCATACAACAAGTCGGTTTTATGCTTCAAGTTTGATTCGTTTGACGCAAAATGATTTCATTAACGCTGCCGCAACAATTTTAAAAGTTCGGAAGCAAACTGGGCGATTCCCAGAATGACCGGGCAGAAACCGGAATTAAGGGTAGCAGCCGAATGTTCGAAGCAATCGAAACAAAGTCGGTTGGCATCTAGAAATGATTTGGATTTGCTCGGAGCATCTCAGTGACAACGCACTTGGATTCGAAGTAGCTTGTCACTACTGGTCATTGCGCGGTCATACGCTGTCACGGCTCCGAATGGTTCAAGTTTCGCATAAATAAAGTCGGTCAGTACGCAGTCTACGCGGTATTGCTTTTTGCAGAAAACATTCAGAACTGTATTTTTGACGCTCGGTTTCTGATTTATTCAGCCGGACGTGACCTGTCGGGTGGTAACCCTAAAAAGAAACCAACCCTAAACCCTAAAAGAAGCCCTTATCCCTAAATGTGAGAACCAACCACCTGAGAGGTCACGTCCGCCTTTCTTCACAAAGTCTGAATGACTTTTACCACTTCTGATTGCTGTAGTCGTCATCTTTGGAACTCGCAAATTTGAACATCCCATGCGCTCCCCGGATCCTCCGATCTTTGATGGCTTTTGAATGTTCCATGTTTTCACCGACTGTTCTGAAATTTGTTCTGAAAGATTGACCAAGAGACTGTTCTGTACAGACTTCCGCAGGCCTGTTCATGGGGTTCCATGTTGATTATTCAATTTCCAGTGCATTGAATCAGCCCATAAGAATTCTTCTCAATGCCAATTTGCTTTAGATTTGCCTTTGTGGTTTTTTGTAGGAACCTGGCTCTTTCTTTTTTCGTTTTAGAAGGTGGAAAAACGAACAAAGTAAAGGCGTAAGCTTCCTACAAACACTTTTTGCATGTACTATGCATTCTACGGCTCAAGTTGGATGATGTAAAGCCGCCGCAAGAAAGAGTCGAAGAGCTCAAAAGAATACAATTTGTCCCACCCACCCAATGCGAGAAGAGTAAATCGCTCCAGCAAGAATGAGTGCACATTTGATTGTTTTGTTTTTTAATTGTCTGACAGGTGGATTTGAAATTTTTGTGATTCCATCAATTCCTTTTGTAGCTCTTTTGAATCGTCAATCGTAAAATTTAAGAACTGGAGCGCAAGTGCAACACATGTAGCAAGATCCTGACTAAGGCGAAAGTTCAGTGGTGAATGATTTTTGCGAAATGATCTGCAGTTGGGAAAGAGATTTCACAGTCACAAAAATTGTTTTTGTTCATGTACTCGACATAGGATCGTCATGGCCTGTGCATTAACAGCTGGTGAGCAATCCCCGCAGTGATTGGTTCAGAGGTAAGAGGTGTGTTTGCATACAAGCAGATTGAAAGCTGTTCAAAGAGCATGCAGGTCTGCTGTTTGCAACAGTTTTGAATTTTCATATGCTCGAAAACTTGTGGTCAGGCACCCCAGCTGGCAGAGATGCCAGCTCCGTTGCCGCCGAGGATCAGCATGGTACCGAGGGATTCTGTAATTGTGGGTTCCGTCTTACGACCATGCTTGCTCGTCGCATTGCAGCATAAGTGGTGTTTGAGTCTCCCCGAAAACTGTAGCAGACAGCGAATGCAAAGTAAGAGTATTTGCATAAGTTACCACGTTGCCGAGACATCATTCGCCATTTGTAAACGATGCACCAGTAACGGACAATGCCGGAAACGATCACTCACGTGTTCCTGTGCATTTCACAATCACACCACAAAGAAAAAGCACAGCACGCAAGAACCAGATGGCCTGTACCCGGCCCAGAAGTTTTGTGGTCCAGTGAGAAAGCGTGTGTTTTCGCCAACGCATCCATATGCGTGCCTCCCAATGCCGCACATGGCATGCCGAAGTATACTGCAACGATATCCTGGCATGAAGCTTCGAGGTGTGGTTCTATTGTCTCCACGAAACTACCATGCGGCATAGACCGTTCGGTGAGTTGTAACCATATGTAATCATGCAGCTTGTTTGCCATGTTCTGCCGCTTCACTACTGTTAAAGTCGTCATGGTTTGGCCCGTGGCAGGAAAAAGAAACGACGAAGTGCCGCGACTGAAGTCAGTCGTGGCTGTACAAGTTGAGCTCCGAACATGGCATTTTTCAATTTCACGAATCGATGTGACGGTCGCGATCATCCTTCTGGGCCTGAGGACGTGGCTTTCTGGAGGTGTTTCTTCATAAGGCTGGCATGCATGTACTGTCTACTGTCCATGACGACAAAGCACAAACCCGCCTGTGACAATAGTTTGAGGCATCATGCTTCTCACATGGATCGCAGGTGCAAAAGCCAGAGGTCATCCTAATCGGCGTATGGTGGTTTATCATGTTGGTTTTGGCTGCTTGACCGTTTAACAGTTTTGTGGATTTCTCCCATTGTGTGGTTGGTCCGACCTGCACGTGGGCTGCTATAGCAGTTTTCGCACACTGGTGACTAGTGGTCTGCAGCTGTTGGTGGAGAACGTGCAGCAGAATACGGGCGTTGAGGTCATCTACATGGCAGAAATGGGTCCGGTCCTATGGGAAGTCTGGAGGCCACTGGTGTTTCTGCTGCTTGCCTGGAAGATGGTGGCCGTTGAAGCGCAAGCATGTCTTCAGTTGGTCTTCCCAGGCTCAGCATTCCGGCTGCCGTGCCGCATTGAGTTCCGACATGCACTTATGCGGTCGTGAATTTGGTGCATGTTTGAATTTTGAGGTTGTTTTCTTTGGCATTCTGGCATTTGCCACCCTCTGACAAGCCTCGGCAGCGTGGATTTGCAAATATCGGCTTCTGGTGAAGGATGCCAGGGGTTGCAACAAAACTTTGTGGATGCATGGGTTGTTGTTGCTGACAGCATCTTAACGTACGCAGATGTTGCATGAGATTTCGCACCTCCGGCCAACAATTAACGATTGTTCCTCTAAATTTGCCCTCGAATTCCAGAGCCACGAAAGAGTTCAGAAATGGTTAGAAAATTAGAGCATGCCACACACGCACTTGCCCAAGTACTGGGAGCATCTCAAATTGCCCGCAGAACCCTGTGTTTTCTAAAGTCTTGAGCTTCGAAAAGAAGCCCGTCGGTCGCATCTGAATCACCGAGCATGCGTGGACAAGCTGACAAGCCTGAAGACTCGCAAAGGCCAAGCATGCTACGCCACGCATCTCAACATGGCATTCATTCTTAAGGCAAACGGAAGCCTCGGCATCAGTTTGCGAGACACTTGGACAATCACTCAAAGCTAAAGGGGTTCCAGTCGTTTAGAAGTGCTGCAATGCTAAGATGCTATCGAGTTTTCAAGTGCACCCAAAGATGGATAATGTCGCAGATGGTGCATGTCGCCCGATCACACACACACACACATTCAATGCACCAGGAAAAAACGTGCT